ATATATATACACACACACACACACTATGAAAAAAGAAATAATGTAAAAATTAAAATATAGAGTTAAAGGCTAGCCTTGACAACATAACAAGATCCTGTCTCAAAAAACTAAACAAAAACAAAGCAAAAAATGTTAATATATAGAATCCTTGATAGAAGGAAAAAACCTAAAAACGAAACCTTTGTCAAAAGATAAAGGAGAATCTTATATATTTTAGACACATTCTTGTAACTACTTTTAAAATGTATTAACTCCCCTCACCCCATCCCAAAAAAGTCATATTTATGTATATTATATATGTGTGTGTATCTGTCTATACATATATAAAATAAAATAGGGCCCAAACCCAACCCCAGGCAAACAAAATGGGAGCCGCTCTCCTCTCTAACCCCTTATCCACCACCCCACCCCACCCTTCCAGGAGCCCCATCTTCTTCTGGAAAACCTCCCCAAATAGTTAGGTTCCTCTCTGTGGGACAGGAAACAGAAAGAGGCAGCTGTTGTCACAGTCACTTTATTGTATCCAGTACATATCAGACCAGTCCACCCCTAGCTCTGCCCTCAAAACTCCTGTACCTCTGGGCCTTTGTACAGTTTTCCCCCACACCTCTGTCAGACACACCCATCTGTCTGCAAACTCCTATTCATTCTTCCCAGCCTCAATCCCTGAGTGCCCCGGGTCGTACAGATTATTCCCATCTCAGTGCTTCCTTTGACAGTTCCATTCTGGCAGTAAAGGCTTTGTCATCCTGCACTGATCCACTGGGCCCAGCCAATGGCTGCGTCTGAGCAGAAGCCTAGGAAACACTAAACAGATAGTTGAGTCATGAACAAGGGAACTGGGAAAGAATCTGAGAATGGCTATGTGAGACACAGGCCAGAGCTAGGAGACCGGGGGCTCACTGGAGTGGCGATGAACACTGAATGGGATTTTCTGGCACAGTCTTCTGCTTTTGCGGGCTCTGTAGAGCTCAGCGATCCAGGGGGCAGGGGTTCAAGGAACGGTAAGCTCCTACAGGTATTTAGACTTGCCCTGTCCTCTCCACCAGGCAAGAAAAGCAGCAGTGCAGTGAGGGTACAGTTGGCCGCTGAGACCTCCCCTTCCTCTCTGCTCAAATCAGACTCTGGCCTGTGTCACCTTCTACCCAGGCAACATGGAAGCCGCAAACATGGGCCCTGACCCCAGCTGGCCCCCTCCCTGAGCCTCATGAGAGTCAGTGAAGGGCCAAGCCAGAGTGGACCACACCCTGATCTCTTTTCTTCTTCTAGGGGAAGGAGCAGGGCAGACCCAAGTCCAAGGGACTGGCCAGCACCACCCTGGCAGTCGAGGTGTCTGCAGGGAGTCAGTGGGGTCAGACAAGCAACTTCACCAGCCTTGCTCCCATCTGGAGAGGGCCTGGACCCCGTCCCCCACTACACTGCCCTTCCTACCAGCTGCCACCCACCTCACTTGGTCTTCTGACTGAGCTTGCGCCGTACCAGCTGGCTGAGAACGAACGCGGTGAGGACACTGCTGCCCACAGTGAGCAAAAAGAGGCCAGAAAAGTTGTGGGGCCAGCGGGTGTGCAGAGGTTCATAGATGGACCGCCGGGCCTCATAATCCAGGGTCACAGCTTCCAGCTGAGCCAGGGTGCACAGCACCAGGAAGACGTGGAAAACCTGATGGCCCTGCCCGAACATGTGGCAGCTGCCTGGGAACCAGCTCTCGGGCATCACCGTAGAGAAGAAGACGGCGGCCAGCAGAAAGAAGACCACCTGGCACTTGTGGTAGAGAAGAGCGGGGTCTTCCGAGGCAGGGTGAGGGGACACCAGGATGCGGTGCACCACGGGGCTGATGTCCAGGATATAAGCCAGCACCGAGGGGACCTCCTGGCAAACGCGGCCCAGCAAACCTGGCTTCTGGGTGTACTTGTTGTAGCAGGAGCCGGTGCAGGAAAGCCAGGCAAGAAAAGCGGCTGCGGGCAGGAAGATGGCCTGCACCCGGGCGTGCCAGGCGGGCTCGATGGCGTAGTAGAAGTGCACCAGGGCACTGCCAAACTGGTACACGGCCACACCCACATAGTCCAAGAAGAAGAAGCTGTAGTGCCAGAACTCGGACTTGGCCTGCAGGAGGTGCGCCAGGGAGCTGAAGGAGAGGTAAGTAAAGGAGGAGAGGACGACGATGAAGAGGGGCAGGGCATGGGGGTCTCCCCGGAAGTCCATGGTCCCCACGAAGATGACCAGCCGCAGCAGCAGCGCCAGGGCAGCCAGCAGGTGGGTCCAGACATTCACCGCCTCGTTGTGCTGCCGGAAGAGCGTGCAGAAGTAGAAGCCCCAGCTCCGATGCAGTGGCCGGTAGCCCGCATAGATGTAGGGCTTCCAGAAAAGGGGCGGCACTTGGGCCCGATCCACCGTGAAAACGGGCTCCGGCTGCACAGACTCCTGGCCAACGTGCCCCAGGCTGGACAGGAGGTGGCTGAACCTCTGAGCCACTGCCGTGGCCATGGCTGGAGGGCTGGGCAGGGAGCTGGGAAAGAGGCCAGACACATTCAGGGGCTGGGGTCCTCCTTGTCCCCGGCAGTGGGTCTCACCCCCTCCTCCCCATACTGTGACTTTAAGGAGGAAAGAACTGTCCCAGGGAGGATCTCAGCTGTGGCTTCACCACAGCAGAACTCTCTTTGTTTGCTGATGTCACATAGTGGGTGGCCAGCAGAGGTCTGAGGCCTGCATTCATTCATAAGCCTCCCACCTGTCACTTCCTCTCCAGCCCAGGCTCCAACCAGCAGCCCCAGCTGTTATCTCTCCTAAAGTAAAAACCTGACACGCTGAACGCATGACATGGGAACCAGCTCTTTCCGCCCCTAAGTTTGTGCCACCACATTGTTAACCTCCTCATGGTGACCTCGACCTTACTAACAGACCCACTGCCTCCACCTGTAGCCTCTTCAGAGTTGCCAGGGGCTCCCCATTAACTTCGTTACCCTGTATGACCTGGTCCCTCCTCTTCTAGAGCTTTACTGCTCAACTACAATGAGGACCAGGGAATAATGAGGCCTCGTGGTGCCCTGTGGACACCTAGTAATGGGGTACAGGCTCCGAGAAGTCCTGCTGATAGAGAACACTTTAATGTAGAATAACTTCTGCCCTTGGCTTTGTTTAGTTCAGAATCAACAGGCACAGAGACATCTAGTCTCCCTAAAAAGCTGTGTAAATGAAAAGAACCATTGTTAACTTTGCTGACCAGACACGCTCCCTTCCCCTGGACCAGAATAGAAAACTAAATGAATTTTAAAGGTAACTTCCCCTACCAAAGAAGTGCTACGTCCAGGTTGAAGTTCAACTGCCTGGCCACCAAGTTTTGAATATCAGCAATGTAAACCGTGAAAATGCAATGTAACCAGGATGAGATCAAGGCTATAAAACCCTATAAAAAAAAAGGGAGTTGTAGGGCCAGGGATTTAGTTCAGTGGTTCCACTGCCTGCCTCCCAAGTGCAAGGACCCGAGTTCAATCCCCAGTACCAAAAAAAAAAAAAAAAAAGGAGGGAGTTGTAGCCCAAAACTGGATCAATCAGGGGGCTGCCGTTAGGTGTGATTGACCCCCATGGATGGAGTTAACTTGTTACTTTACTTCCATTCTGCTGCCTCTCTGTGTGTCACTTGCCAATTCCTTCCATAACACTGAAATAAAGTTTACTTAGCTTCATTGACCCTACTTGTGTGCTAAGTTTACATGACCAAGGATTCTAATCCCAGTAACAATTGCATTATAAAGCCAGCCAAACTGCTAAGTGTTTATTTTGTGTATATGTGGGGGGGAGGGGTCCTGTTGTGGTACTTGAGGTTGAATCCAGAGCCTTTGCACTAAATTTCATCTGTGGACCCATTTTATTTTTTACTTTGAGACAGGGTCTCATTAAGTCACTAAATTGTCTATCCTGGGCTCAGACTTGCAGGCCTCCTGCTTCAGCCTCCTAGAATTCTGGGACTATAGGGCTATGTACAACCACACTCAGCTATGCTCCTGTTTTATAGCCTTTTTTGACATTAATTTTCAAAACTTCCCTGTTGGGGGAATAGGGATTTGGCTCAGTGGTTCCACCACCTGCCTCGAAAGCACAAGGGCCTAGTTTGATCCCTGCTACCAAATAAATAAATAAACAAAAAATTTAAAAATTTCCCTGTGGGGTAGACACAGTCCCCAGACATAGTAGGCCTCAGAGGCAACTTATTAGGGTGACAGAGGTCCTGCTGCCCTATTTCCTTTATACCTCAGCTGGAGGCCACATTCCATCTAAATAGGTCTATTTTCAGAATTAGTTTCATCCCTGAGTCCAGGGGAAAGGAGGGAGCAGGGGCAGGGATCAGACCTGAGCCAGGAGGATGGGGGTGGCAGGGACCACCCTGGCACCCTGAACAGTCTGCCCACCGAGCTGCCAGGCCCTGCCCTTTCCGGACAGCCCAGCCCAGTGCACTGCACCTCCACCGGCCCCTCCAGGCTTCCCAAGCTGTTTTGCACCCCTGGGTTTTCCTCTCGAACCTGGGAACTGATGAATTCTGCTGCAGGCCTGGACAAAGCCACCAGATGCCAAGCACTGGGTGGCGCTTCCACAGGTGAGGGGCACTAGGGCGGGGCTTTCAGAGACTAGCAATGTCTTGCATGATATCCCCAGAGGGTGGCGCTAAAGACAACCTCCCACACCTCTTGCTTCCTTCCTGCAGGATTCTCACACTGCACCCTCCTAGCCCGACCTCAGCTGCAGAAAGGCCCTCCTCATCAGCTTCCGTGTGAGACATGTAGAAAGCCAGGGGCTAGCTGAAAAGTGACATCATGGTAAGGAAAGAGCAAAACTGGGCTGGGAACAAATATTCAGGGCCTGGTTAATGGATGTTTGGCGAACCTGGCTGATCTCTATCCCCTACTTGGTGGGAATAAAATGGAAGGGAGTTTAGAATAAAGAAGAAAGCAGACACTCTGAAGGCTTGGGAAAGAACTGAACTTCAGATTCAGACAACCAGGCTTGGCACTAGATTTCATAACATAGCAGCTGTGTGACCTTAGACAAGTGACTCGCTTTCTCTGATCCTGAGCTCCCTTATGGGAATTTCAATATTATCTACCTCTTAGATTGCTACAAAAATTAAATTTACTAGAACTACATTTTAGCACAGTTGAGCAGCTTAATATATGATTGCCATTCCTATTATGAATACTAGTAGAAATATTTGAAATATCCCCAGCCTAAGAGATTTCTTCAGGCTTCTCTAAAAACCTCAGTCTGCCTTTAACCCTCAATAGCTCATGCCACTGGATTGCCCGTGTGTCTCCTTAAACATTTATCTTATCCCTGATGTGTATTTAGGGACCAGGGAAACTGGGCTGGAGTTTGGACCTCTGAGGATCCTGACCTTATTTAATAATTAAGTTGTCCTCAGAAACGCCCACTCAGAGTAAACTCCTCTGGATTCACAGAGGCCTGAAAACTGGCATTTGCCCACAGGTGCAAGAGGTGGCTGGGAAGTGACATCCCAGGGGCAAGGCCTCAGCTGCAACAGCCCCAGAAGCCCTGTCCCAAGGTCTGAGGGCACAGAGCACACACGATGTCAGCAGGACCCGAAATGCCTGTGTCCCGGCCTGCGGGAGACAGGTGAGAAGTGCCTGACTCTCCCTTGTCCTGCGAAGGTGGAGGAGGAGGCTTGGCCAAGGCCTGTCATGGCCCACTCCCTCACTTCCCTTCACTGCCTCCCTCACAGTCCCGAGGAGGGACTGAGATAGCTTCCCTCAGAGTCCTCCTGCCACCCACAGGCTCTCAGGGCCACTCTGACAGGAGGTCCCCTCTGTCATCCACGTTGCCCCTCCCCAACTCCCACTGCTTTGAAGAAATGGTAAGGAAAACCATCCCAAACGTAGCAGTGATTCATAAGGGATCCCAGCCCATTATTAACACCTCCAGCCTCCCAAATCCTCAATAAGCTGTGATTAAGGCACCCAACCCCTCTGAAGATCCCCCAGTCTCACTCCCCCCATTTTTCATGGAGATGGGACAGCTGTCAATCAAACAGCCCAAGTCTCCTGATGTTCCCCTGCCATTATGACAGCTGCAGCCATCCTGGACACCCTGCACCCCCTCCAGAAGATGTGTGCCCTGACTGAGCAGGTTCAAATGTAAACCAAGAAGTAGAACAGAATTTGGATCATTCAATAGGCTCAGATTAGTTGGCCCAAGTTTAGACCAGTTTGGATCAATCAGTCGGCTCAAAATTATACCAATTACTGGCCTTTCCGGGCTACATAAGCAGCACTCCTCTCACACTCCTGGAGTTAGTCTAGGAGGGCGCCCCCTCTGGTCCACTGACTGCCTGTGTTGTAGCACAAGTTCAAATAAAGCCTCGCTCTGGTGGTCCTATAAATCTGCTCATTTTTTTCTTCCTTTAGGAAGTGTAGACTTGGAAGGTCCTGTAAATCTACTTTGGACACAGCACTTACTTTAAAAGAAAAAGTAATAAACTCTAGGGATTGTAGCCCCGGGGAGCTGGAGAGACCAGCAGCCACTGAGGATCTGCAGCAGAGACCAGCTATCGGCAATGTTGACCGGAGGCATCTGCCATTAACTGGTGTCAGCAGGTGTCACCAGAGCCACTAGCAAAAATACGCTTTGCCAATTTATGATTTCCACCTGAATCGAGTAAAAGAACCCTCAAACAACTGGTGACACGGGCCTGTCTAGAAGGCTTCCAGGCTGGCCAGACCTCAGGACAGAGACCCCGGCCTCCAGTGGGAGTTTCTCAGCTAGTCAGAGCAGCTCCTCCCTCCCCTGCTACTTGATTCCTCAGTTATAGTCAGAGAATAAAAACAGCTACCTCTTGGGCTCTTGAGAAAACAAAGCCAAGCAATGGATGCTTAGTGCTGGCTAGCACAGAGCTGGCTCCACTCTTTTTGTTGGGTCCCTCCTGGCTCAGCCACGCAGTCCCTGCTTGGACAAGGACAAGTCCCTTCCCCCTCTTGCCCCTCTTTCTCCAAATGTCAAAGGAGAGAGTGAATTCACCAGTGACTGCTAAGGGCCCTTGAAGCCCTGTGACATTCCAACAATATTTATCTTACGCCTACTATGTTCCAGGAACTAGAACTTCAACAGTGAACAGAGCAGTTTAAAATACTGCCCTGGGAGAACTAAACCCAGCAAGCTAATATTTAATGGCAAGACCTCAGGTATGAATACTCTTGCTTCCTGGAGTTCACACCCTAACAAAATAATGCCTGTTAACAGAATCATTTGGTTATAATTCCACTTTTTCTGTCTTCTTCCTGGCATGCAAAATAATCATTGTTGCTTTTCTGGGCTCTGATTGTTCAGTATTTTATATCAAGAAGCCATGCAGGGCAAAGTCTAACCCATTACATAAAAATAATAAGGCTTGGACTAGGGGTGCAGCTCAGTGACAGAATGCTTGCCTAGCATGCTCGAAGCTCTGGGTTCTATCCCCAGAACCACTACCACCACATACAAAAAAAAAAAAAAAAAAGCTTAAATGTATAGAAACATTATGAGGTATCCCAATAATATGCATAATTTTTATGCTTGTATAAGCCAGTTAAAAAGAATAAAACCAATAAATAAATAAATAAATAAATAAACAAACCAGGCACCATGGCGCATGCCTATATCCCATCTATTCAGGAGGCTGAGGCAGGAGGATCACCAGAGCCCAGCAGTTCACAGCCAGCCTAGGCAATATGGCAATATGGCAAGGCCTGTAAAAAAAAAAAAAAAAAAAAGATAAAACAATAATAACACTAAGGCCAGGCCAGTGTTAATATTGGGGCCGTCAGAGCAAACCCTCCTCTGGGGCTGGGGATTTAGCTCAGTGGTTCTGACACCTGCTTTGCAAGCACAAGGTTCCAAGTTCGATCCTCAGTTTAAAAAAAAAAAAAAAAAAAAAAAAGAAGAAGAAGAAGAAGAAACAAACCCTCCTCAAGGGTCCTGATGAGGATGACACACCATGAGACAGTGCTGATCCCTGAGAACATTCACACACGTCTCGCCTCCCTAAGCTGTTTCCCCTGGCCTGAGGCAGGATGGTCTGTCTGATGGAAAACAGCTCCTGCTCATCACCACCACCCTAACTCCCTTTGGTCAACTCCTGTACGCCCAGCAGTGGACACAGATTGGACAAGCAGAATTTTCCTCCCTGGCTGGCCTGGCCTCCCCATCTTTCAGCAACTGGGTCACCTTCTTCTTGACAAACCCATTCCCCAGTTCGGCCTGCCTGCTGTGTTTTAAGAAAAATCCATCCCATGTCTCCCAAGACTGAACAGACTGTTTTTGTTTGTCTGTAAGTGCATTTTAGTCCTCCATTTGTACTCAGAAATGTCATCAGAATGAAAAAAAGTAATTCTTAAGGAA